ATTCGGTTTGGTTATTTGGGGGTGCTCTATCAGAAAACTGCATTGGATAGACTGCATCAGCTCTAGTTTCTGATTCAGAACATATGCCATCGAGTAGTCGCCATCTGCTCACCCACAGAAAACCATACTTAATAATCTAGAGCTGATGTGGTAGTAGTAATCTTTTGTGGGTAGTCAGCCTCTCCCCTCCCAACATCCCTGTTGCCTTGGCACTATAAGAGAGTTTCACGAGACCAGTCGCTCTTGTTGCCATGTGGTTTCGAGGCAACAGTGTAGTAATAATTAGGCCATGGACCATATTTTCGTTCAGTGGGAGCCACTGCTTTAGTTCAATGTTGGGGTCACCAAAATTTGGAAACAGTAAAATGTTTCTGAATGCTACTCATTTACACAAATCTTTTAGCAATGACATAGACTTCTAGAATTGTTACAACAGGATTTGTGTCAATGTTGAAACCTTAACATTTGACTATAAAAGCAACAGTAACCAATTCCGTTCTAATGTGATCACACACAGTCTTTCTGTATCACAGAATTCACACAATGACATATCTATGTAATTTGGTGTGTGAATTTCAAACATCTAAATTATCACACAAAGTAGTCGGATTATAGTAGTTGTTCTAAGCAGGCAACTTTGAGCAAGAGCTAATTACAATTGACCCTCGCATTAGCATGTTCCACTTTTGCGGATTCATTTATGAATTTGCTCTCTGGGAATCTCTAGGTCCTGCAGTATATGCAAGAGGACCATTCCTAGGGATAATATATCTCTAAGTATCTGTAGGTTCCTCCAGTGCAATTCTATAGTTAACTTCTAACATAAGTTGACCATAAAATCACACTGAAGGACCTAAAGATTCTTAGAGAGGTCTTTACTCAGGTAAAATGTGGAGTTTTTTTTAATGTTGCAGTTCTTCCATTTTCACAGGAGTCTTAACTCCAGTGAATGTGGAGGGACAGCTGTAATGTTAATTTTATAATACCTTCAAACAACCCAACAACTAAATTCCTCTGACAACCAATCTATTTTAGAAATAGGAACACCAAAACCTAATTGACATATACAGTACATTTTCAGTAAAATCTACTTGAGTTTGGTGAGATTACACTCTCTTATGACATGAGCTTGCAGTTTTGGACATATACCACATATACTCAAGTATAAGCCAAGTTTTTCAGCCCTTTTTTAGGCTGAAAAAGCCCCCTTGGGTTTATACTTGAGTAAAGGTTATGTATTATTTTACTCTGTTGTTGTTATTGTTGTTGTTGTTGTTGTTGTTGTTACATTTATTATTTTACTCTATTTATTATTATTATATTTGCATTATTTTACTCTTATTAATATTACATCTATTATGTTACTCTATTATTATTATTACATTTAATATTTCACTCTATTTATTTTACTCTTAAATGACAGTTTTATGTAAATATTAAAAAACGTTTAACCTACTGATGCTTCACTTAATGTAATTTTATTGGTATCTATTTTTATTTTGAAATTTACCAGTAACTGCTACTGCATTTCCCACCCTCAGCTTATACTCGAGTCAATATGTTTCCCAGTTTTTTGTGGTAAAATTAGGTGCCTTGTCTTATATTTGGGTCGGCTTATACTCTAGTTTATACGATACTTTACCATTTCTAATATACCCTATCAACAGATGATTTTGTACATTGATTTTATGGCTTTGGAAATAATACCAAGAGAATTGGCCTGCTATATTTTAAGCAAATATCTGGACTAGCTACATTTTTTTATATAAAAAGGGACAACCCAAAGAACAATCCAAACTACTCTGTCTTTCTTGATGATCTCAAGAAAGGAATATGTCATGGTCAGCAGAGTCTGTTTTTGCAAGATTCAAATACATATTCAAAGTTTTGTACACTTTATCAGTCAAATATTTTTGCAACTCAAGAGTGGAGTCAAATAGGGTTATATCCTTTTCTAGTTTTTCAGTTCACCTCTTTTTCTGGGTTCCATAATCATAACTTTGATCACTTGGATAAGGACAAAGCAGCAAGACCCTATTTGCATCCCCCAGCCAGATGTGATGTAGAAATTCAGACACTTCCTTCTCTTTTCCGAACAAACATCCCTATTCGCTATTTTGAAGAATGAGGAAATAGTCTTGGCAGACAGGATACCCATCCCCCTTCCCATATGCCAGTCCTAAATCCGTTCTAAATCACCTCTTTCCCAAAACAGAAATTAGCTTTAAAAGGAAAACACAGGGGTGTCGTAATACTGTACTTTTCCTATGTCCTTGCATGACAGCTTTGAGGGGCCTTGCTGCTGTCGCCAACTTATGGCAAGTCTATCACAGAGTTTGATTGGAAAGTTTCAGTTAGAAGGGTTTTCCCATAACTTTCTCTAAGACTGAAGGAATATGATTTGCTCAAGCACAGCCATTAGATTTCCACAGCTGATCTCCAAGAGTCCTAGAGTGCATCTAAATCAGGCCTGGGCAAACTTGGGCCCTGCAGGTGTTTTGGACTTCAACTCCCACAATTCCTAACAGCCTCAGGCTCCTTCCTTTTCCCCCTCAGCCACTTAAGGACCTGAGGCAGTTAGAAATTGTGGGAGTTGAAGTCCAAAATACCTGGAGAGCCAAAGTTTGCCCATGACTGATCTAAACTGATGCAGTTTGACACCACTTTAACTGCCATGGCTCAATGCTATGGAATCATGAGAGTTGCCATTTAGTGAGGCACCAGCCCCCTTTGACAAAAACAACTAAAGATGTTGTAAAACTATAACTTCCATGAGTCCATAGCATTGAGCCATGGCAGTTCAAGTGACATCAAGCTGCATTAACTCTGCAGTGTAGATGCAACCTTAATCAAGCACTCAGACTGCAATCCCACACTTATGAATATTCTGCTGAATGACACTAGAAATGCATCTACAATGTAGAATAAATGTACTGACAGATGAGAGGTGCTTAACCTGTAGTAATGTGTGAGGATTGTGATCTAGATCCCACTGTTAGGCCCAACTAGTATAAACCTATTGAATCGCTGGTGTTAACTAAGGGCCATTTCACACAGCCATATAACCCAAAATATCAAGGCAGAATAACCCACAATATCTGTTTTGAACTGGAATATCTGAGTCCACACTGCCATATAGCCCAGTTCAAAACAGATAATGTGGGATTTTATTCAGCTGGGTGGAAGGAGCCATAGAGTGTTTGCATTAATTCTGCTCAAACTGGGACTAGCAGCTGAATGTAGACCACTACAGACAGTTCCCAAGTTGCAAACAATATAGGTTCTGTAGATTTGTTCTTAAGTTGAATTTGCATGTAAATCAAAACAGGTACATTTGTAAGTGTAGCTCCAGCCAAATATATATATGGGTTGCTCTGAGTTTTCCAGGCTGTGTGTCTATGTTCCAGAAGCATTCTCTCCTGATGTTTTGTCCAACTGGGCATCCTCAGAGGTTGTGAGATCTGTTGGAAATAGGCAAGTGAGGTTTATATATCTGTGGAATGTCCAGGGTGGGAGAAAGAACTCTTGTCTGCTTGAGGCAAGTGTAAATATTGCAACTGACCACCTTGATTAGCATTGAATGGCCTTGCAACTTCAAAGCCGGGCTGCTTCCTGCCTGGGGGAATCCTTTGTTGAAAGGTGTTAGCTGGCCCTGATTGTTTCATGTCTTGTCTTCATGTCATTCAGGAGAGAATGCTCCTGGAACATGGCCATACAGCCTGGAAAAATCACAGCAACCCAGTGGTTCCAGCCATGAAAGCCTTCAACAAAACAACAATATATACGTGTTAAGCCTTCGACAATACATTATACGTGTTAACTTTGGATAGCATAGGGAAGGGTGAACACTCTGTGGTGTTAGTTTTGCTGTCTGTGCCCATTCAGAAGATTTCACCTCACTTTCTGTCCCTGTGAACATTTTGGCTTGTTGTGGAACCAAGGATTGGTGATAAAGCTTCAGTGGAGACCCCTTTTCCCCATGATAACTCTTCCAGGAGTCAATTTCCCTTCCAAAGGGTAGATTTCTCTCACTTCCTGTGGTCACACCCTTATTCTTAACTATGAGTCTTTTGTAAGTTGGATGTTTGTAACTCAGGGACTATCTGAGCTAAATTGGAAATCTCGGGATTCCATGGGATGTTGCCATGGCAATAAAGTGGAATCATAGTGCTATAATTGCATAGCAACGTTTTTAGCCTATAAGAGCATAGATATATAGATATATTATGTAAATGTAGATATATAAAACTGCACTATATGGTCAGTGTAGATACTGGCTGGATCTATGCTGCCATATAATGCCATTTAACTGCATTGAACTGGATTTTAGGGCAGTGTAGACTCTTATAATCTAGTCCAATGCTGTCAAATTCCAGTGAAGATCCAGCCTCACATAATGCAGTAAAATTGCACCATATGAATTATACTGACCATATAATGCAATTTCAAACTGCATTATATCACAATGTCGAATTAGGCTTCACCTCCCACCAATCCTAACAGGAAAGGACCTGAGGCTATTAGGAATGGTGGAAGTCCAAAACCCCTGGAGGGAGGACCCAAGTTTGCCCATGCCTGTTGTGACAGCAGGGACCTCTATGTGACATCTTCTGGGCCCTTGAGTATGTCTACGCTGTAGAATCAATGCAGTTCAACGGCACTTGAACTGCTCTGGGATGCCGATGTTTTAGTTTCACAAGGCCTTGAGCCTTCTTGGCCACAGAGCGCTTCATCAAACCACGACTCCCATGAGTTCATAGCAGTGAGTTGAAAATGTTGGAGTGGAGATGCCTATTCCCGCTCCCGGCCAGGAGGGGGCGCGCGAGAAGAAGGAGGCTTCCCGGGGTCGGGGCGAAACCCCTACCAGAGGGGCTCGTGCCTCCCCGGGCAAAGGAGAGGCGGCGGGCGGCCGTCCCGGGGAAACTCCTTTGTTTGCTGCCTGTTGCCCGTCGCCACTCCCACCCGCTTCTACTCCCTCCCGAGAAGCCCCCACTCCTCACCGGGGTCTCGCTCTGTGCCGCCCGAAGCCGAGGGGTCGCCGCTGCTCCACATCCTCGGGTGGCTGCTTCCCCTCCCCTCCTTCCCCGCCCCCAGACCGTTGGAAGGACCCAAAGGCCGCCCCGTTTGGCTTCGGAAAGAGGCGGGAGGGACGCCTCTTCTCTCCCTCCCTCGGGCCTCCCAGGCACTTCCCTCCCTTGTATCCGCACTAGAGAATTAATGCGCTTCGGCCCCGCTTGAACCGCCTTGGCTCAGCGCTGTTGGAATGTTGGCAGTTCACTTTCACAGAGTCTTTCTTCAGCCATCTCGGTCAAAGAGCGCTGGGGCCTTGCGCCAAATTGCATCGCCCAGGATTCCATAGCATTTGGCCAGCTAAAGGACCTATTCACACTAGAGAATGAATCCACTTTAAATCTGGTTGCTGCCTCTTGCAGAATTCTGGGTTTTGTAATTTAGGGAGGAGCCTTTAACAGCATCACTAAACTACAAACCCCAGAATTCTGCAAGAGGAGGCAGCAACCAAATTCATTCTCTAGTGTGATGAAGTACAAAGTGATGCCAAGCTGCATCAATTCAGCTGCAATGGATGAGAAACTCCCTTCTGGGCACACACAAGTGTGGACGGGCTGGAGGCACTGAACAGGCTGCGCTCCAGTACCAGGAGATTCTTACTTCATATTCTTACTCAGACGGTCTCTCTTTATGTGCCTTCAAGTCACCTGCTAACTTACAGAGTCAATGAAGGAATACTCAGAAGGTTTTCCCCAGTCCGTTACTTACAAATATTGTGTGCAGCACCTGGTATTTGTTGGTGGTTTCCCATCCAAGTATTAAACCAGTGTTGACGTTTCTTACCTGCAGTATGTATATATATATATATATATATATATATATATATATATATATCAGAGAACAAATGCCCTTCAATTCATAGGACCACCTTGGCAAACTGGCACAACCTGGGGATCACAACCAGACAGTGAAGACATCTACCCTTGCACTTTGCTATGCTGCTGAATATCTATGCCGAATGTGGAGCACATCTCGCCGTGCTAAAACAGTGGGTATGGCTCTTAATGAGACATGCCGCATTATCACAGGGTGTCTACACCCTACACCACTGTAGAAATTATAGTGTTTCCCTACATCCATCGGGAGGTAGTGGCCATTAATGAAAGGGCCAAGGCATTGACATCTCCGGCCCATCCTCTGTTCAGATATCAGCAAGCACGCCAACGTCTTAAATCAAGAAAGAACTTCCTAAGATCTACAAAGATACTCGCAGGAGCACCCCAGCAAGCAAGAGTCCAAAAGTGTTAGGCGAAAATAGAAATGTGCCAAGAGGAAGACACGCCACACAAATCTCTGTTGTGACTGCCTTCCATCTGGAAATCTATGTCAACGTGAAACACCACGTGGATGAAGAACCATCATTTATGGAGGACAGTAATGCACGGCCACAAGTGATCACTCTTATACTATAAGCACAACAGACCTACAAGCACAACTCTGCTTAGCTGATGTCAGCTAGCTATGACTATTATGCAAAACCATTCTGCATAAGGAGTACAATTTTCTTTGTGGATGTAGCAAGTGTTTATGTCACCAGGATTCCTGGATCCTGCAAGATTTTAATCCCCGTTGTACAATGATGGTTATAATTAGGGTTATGGGAAATTTCTGGGGACATGCTCAACCACACTATTATTAAGTGATACTCCCTAGGAATTAAGTCTTTATACTAAGAGTATGTAACAGAGTTTTATGCTTGGCAAAACAATCAAGACTGTTTTCCTCTTAGGCTGCCTTGTATTCACTATAGCAGGCTTAACCGGAAGTTCTCTCACACACGTACATCACTTGATTCTCTATTGTTTGAAGACTCAAGTGGGAAAACATGCATGTATCAATGAGTCCTCAAAGCACCCAAAGGGCACTTCTGTCTTTACAGAAGGAGAGGATTGTTATTTGGAAGAGAAGTAAATATGTTCAAATTAACTTCTTAGAAGAAGAAGAAAACCAAGTCCTTAATCTGACTCATTGACTTCAGGGAATGCTATCAGACCTGTGAAAACCATTTCTACGTATGGTTGCAAAATCTGGATAGTAAAGAAATCTGATAGGAAGATATTCTACTCATTTGAAATGTGGTGCTTGAGAAGAGTTTGGATACTGTGGATTGCTATAAAAAGCAATAAATGGGTCCTAGAGCAAATCAAGTCTGAACTCTCCCTAGAAACCAACATGACTAAACCGAGATGTTGGCCATATTTTGAGAAGACATGATTCACTAGAAAAGGCAATTGTGCTTGGTGAGATAGAAGGCAGCAGGAAAAGAGGAGGACTACAATTCCAGATGGGTGGGCTCAATCAAGGAAGCCGTGACCCTGAGTCTGCAAGATCTGAGCAGGGTAACTTGGAGGTTCATCGTTCATGGGGTTTGATGGCAGTTAACAACAATAATATCGATTCCAAAAGAGCCACTGTCATGAAGTGGTTCAACTCTCAAGCTAGATCTCCAGGGGACCCCTTACCCATGGAAAAATACAGGCACACTTGGACAAGTTGAACTCTTTCCATCATGAGCACTAAGGCAAATCTTGCAAAGAAAACAATATAGCATAATTGTCATAAGATGGGAGTTGATTTGAAGACAGTTACTTAAAAAACTCAACACATACTGCATTTTCCAATAATACTTTAAGCTTCACCTTATTTCATCCGTTCTGGAGCCATAATGGCTTTATCTTACTAAATGGTTCATAGTCCTAAAATGCTAGATGACATCAGCATTGTGTCTGTTTAATACAGTCATAATCCTACATAGTCTATACATGTAGAAAGCATAGTTATTGTAACTGAGTGGTTGCCTCTCTCTCTCTCTCTCTCTCTCTTGCTTTGCAAGTATTGCCTTTTTGTTATTTGTTTATTGTATTGTTTGTAATGTAGAATGCATAGTTATTGTAACTGAAATTAAGTGCAGTGGTTGCCTCTCAAAAATTAATGAACAAAAAGAAAACACTCAGTGATGCCTGAATGTCATGACATAGAACTTGTCCCAACTCTTTTAAAGACAAGCATGCCATCAGGAACAACAACATCTTCTCTATCCGAAGCTATTATTATTATTCCCCTCTTTATCTCCCCAAAGGGGATGCAAAGTGGCTTGACATAAAAGCATTAGTATACAATTTAAAATATAAAAAAAATGTGAGCATTAAAATAGAATTAAACACATATACCACTAAAAAAATTCATAGTTAAAAACATCAAAACAGTTAAAAACCACAGCATCCCCTGACTAGATCTTAAAGACTTTTATCTTTAAAAGCCTGCAGGAATAAAAAGGTTTTAGCCTGCCGCCGGAAGGACAGCAGGCAAGGGGCCATTCTGGCTTCCCTGGGTAGAGAGGTCCAGAGTTGAGGGGAAGGAAGGCCCTCTCTCTCGTTCCCACCAACTGAGCTTGAGATGAAGGTGGGACCGAGAGAAGACCCTCTCCTGAAGATCTCAGTGCCCGAGCAGGTTCGTACAAGGAGATGCGGTCAGCCAAATAGCATGGACCTGACCGTCTAGGGCAGTGGTTCCTAACCTGTGGTATGTGGACCACCAGTTACAATAAAAATGGTCCATGTTTCTTAAAGTCAGAAAAAAGACATCGATCCAAATATGCAACTTGCATTTTGACTTCTTAAGGTGAAGGTTGAATCTAGTCGTGTCTGACTCTGGGGGGTGGTGCTCATCTTTACTTCTAAGTCGAAGAGCTGATGTTTTCCGTAGACACCTTCAAGGTCATGTGGCCAGCATGACTGCATGGAGCGCCATTACCTTCCCACAGAAGCAGTACCTATTAATCTACTTACATTTGCATGCTTCCGAACTGCTTTGTTGGCAAAAGCTGGGCCTAACAGTGGGAGCTCACCCCGCTCCCCAGATTCGAACCACCAACCTTTCAGTCAGCAAGTTCAGCAGCTCAGTGGTTTAACCCAGTTTGCCACCAGGGGGTCCTACTTATTAGACTTCTGTAAATTTATTTTCTGTCTTTTTTTGGGTTGCTTGAGTCATATACTCAAAGTGACATAGTAGCATATCTTCCATTGGAAGTTCATCCTGGTTACAGTGAGCCAAGACGACCTTGGATCAGGTAGTTGTTCAGTCACCAGTTCTCCTTTGTCAATCCACGTACACACACACCGCCAGTAGAGTACTTCCACTAGGAATGTATAGAAACCTAGATTACTTCCAGCATAAAATTATGAAAGCATACAAACGTGTTTAAACGGTTTGGGTTTGCAGCATCACTGCCCTGTAGTGGATAAATCTCTACTTAGAACTGCTTTGGAAGCCAAACTGTCTGCTCACACAAGATCAGTAACAATAAGGATTACTTTAAACTTAATTTTTATAAAGTTGCTTTGAGAAGAGAGGTTCATCAACTATTGAACTACAGACTTAAATGTCCTGCAGATATTCATGAGATGTAACTACTGCACCATTCTCTGTCGAGAAATTGCTCCTGATGGCCAATGAGCCATGGCGGACACAGTTTCTGTGACTGTGCATAAAATTTCCTGAGTAACACTGAATAGAAACAAGAAGCAGAGGCAATAAAATATATTGTCCACAAGATGTCAGCATTGAACTGCATCAAGTACTAATGCATCCTGTTTCAGCTGCAAAGTTAACTGGGGAAAAATGTTTAGAAAATAAATTTCTTGAAGCTACCCCTCCACCCTTGAGACTACCCGAGCTCTCGTACTTAGGTTTTCCTCCCCTTCATGCAACAAAGGAATTCTTCAAGCACTATTTTATCTACATTTTTTTCTAAACAACAGTTTTGTCAGAAAAAGTTTTTTTCTATTGGCCTTGAAGCATTTTTTTAAATGACCATTTGTCAGCTATCGATACCATAAACTAAAATTTAAAACACTATATGTAGTATAATACTGTATTTATTTATTTATTTATTTACGATGTTTCTATCCTGCCTTTCTCGAACCCGAAGGTGACTCAAGACGGCTTAAAACCAGGCAGCAATTTGATGCCTAACAATATAAAACCAATGCCTTCATTGTTAGTCTCATTGTCCATAAATCATCATCTGAGCCATTCCAATGTTGATTTTTG